TTATTTATGCTATAAATATCACTGGTTTTAGAGTTAAAACATTCAGCTACAAAATATAAAATTTTGACTTTTAGTTTTGGTTTCTGTTTTTCATTCTGAAATGGAGAAATTCTTAGTTGTAAAAGATAGTATTATAAAAATACATAAATTTAAACTAACGGGTAGAACTATCGAATTTAAATTACGTACCGCTCCTAAAGATAAAGACTCAATTGAATGGGTAAAAGGAAGAATTAAAGATGTTGTAAATAAAGTAACTGAAGGTGCAGAGGATAACGATAAAAGGAGAAGGTCAAGGTCAAGGACATGGGCAAGGACAAAAGCAAGGACGAGGACAAAAACAAGGATGACAGAGTCGAAGACAAGAAAAAAAAACAAGGATAAGGACAAGGTCGAGGACAAGAACAAGGACATGCACAAGAACAAAAACAAGGACAAAAACAAGGATAAGAGCAGGGTCGAGAACAATAACAAGGACATTAACAAGGACAAGGTCGAGGACAAGAACCTTGATTTAAATATTTTATAGATCGTAATTTTTCTAATTTAGGAAATATGTCTGCTGCTTACATTTCGAGAAGTAACTTCTTTAAATAAAAGTTGTTTGCAATATTATCCTCTATAATTTTTGTTTCTTACATAATTTTCCTAAAAACGATCCGTTTTAGAAAAATTTGACAGAAAGTGCAAAATTCAATGTTTTAAGAAATTTGTTCATATAATGATATTCTCTATAATTTTTATGCATGATTTCCCTTAAAATAGTAGATACATTTTCTAGAAATCTATTTTAAAAAAACTATTTTAAGAAAACTATTTTTATAATGGCTATTTTTATAAATGTTTTTTTTATAAATGTATATTTTTAATTCATTTTTAAAATATGATATATATGGATGTATATTTAAGCTTCAAATCAGATATTTATATCTGGATTACTTTAAAAATTATTATTTTTTATGTCAATTATTTTTAGATTAATAAAAGATCTTTTAAACTTTAAAAATATCTGTTTTCTCGTTTCAGATCAGTCTTGGTCTTAATTCTAACTTCTAATCTATTTTAGACTAATTTTTAGCTTCATAAAGATTAAGTAAAACAAAACTATTAGTAATTTATATTTATTTAATTTATCTTTAAATAAATAAATAAAAAGACCTTATTTTAAACCAATCTATTTTAGAAGTACTATTTTTAAAAATATCTATTTTTATATTTTATTTTTAGAATTATTTTAAAAATAATTTTTTTATTATAGTTTATTTAGAAGTGTATTTTTATAAATATCTATATTATATATGTCTATTTTATGTTTTATTTTTTAATAGGATATTTGTAGATGTATATTTAAACTTCAAAGTAGATATTTATAGCAGGATTTATTTTTATAAATGGCTATTTTTAAAAATTATATTTTGTAGCTGAATGTTTTAACTCTAAAACCAGTGATATTTATAGCATAAATAATTTAAATTTATTAATTTAGTACTGGTTATTTTCAGACTTAAAAAAGGATAGATTTAAACATAAAAGAGTAATTTTTTTTGTCTTTATATGTCAAATCGACTAATTTTTAACTTTATAAAAGGTTTAATAGAAAAAACAAAACTATTATTTATTTATATTTATTTATTAAGTTTTATTACAACCCATATTTTATATATATTTCATTTATATCACTAAGTGTTTTATTTTTTTTCAATCATCGTCTCTTCGGTGCTTTTTTTCAGCTTTTCCAATTCCGTTTCCTTTTGTTTCTTGTTCTTTTCTTTTTTTTCTTATTCTTTCGTAATATACTCCAATTTTTCAGTTAGTAAACATATTGCTTGAACTTTTTCATAGTAAAAATTATCCTTAGAATTCAAGTGAAACATAAATTTTTCTATTACTTCATCTGAAATTGGTTTGGGAACTTCTGACTTAGTTGATTGTTTTATTTTTATAGATTTAGATAGTTGTGTCTAAAATTTGGTTTTGCAGAGGGGTAGACAAGACTTGATGATGTTTACTGAGCGCTTCTGATTTTTGTAAATGATGTCTCTGCAAAATTTAAATAATTTAAATAAACATTTTAATAGAAATTTCTTGTAACTTACTAATATATTTTTAATTTCTCGAGATCTTTGTTCTTCACATACTGGTAGATGATAATCTTTTGTCTTCTCTATTAGTTGTTGATCCAGATTTATTTCCTCTGAAAATTGAGGAGTGTTTTGATTCATAATTTCGGAAAAATCCAAAAATTCCGTTATTTCTTCTAACTCATCTGTTAAATCTAAAATATCGACATCCTAATAGTTAGTTTAGTAATGGCTATAACATACTATCAGAAAATAAATTCAAATAAATAAACTTACATTATTATCAACTTTCTCTTGCACTTTTTGTAAACCAACTTCTTTTAGTATTGTTGTTTCCTTTTAAAACTAGTAGATTTTTTTAGTTCGATGTTAGATATTATTTTGATATTTCCCTTCTGCATTTTGAAAAACCAATAAAAAATATTAATTTTTGGTCTGTTTATTAGCAAAATTATCAGATATTTAAAAATAATATATCGTCTGAAAGATTATACATACAATGTTAAAAAGAACAAAAATATAAGGTCAATCTTAAAGGTCAGTAAAGTGTTAAAGATAATAATAGAAAAATATTTTTAGCAACCGTATATACGACAGCATCATTGAATTATGTGTGTGATAAAAAAAGTGCAAAATTCAATGTCAATTTTAAGGTCAAATAAATAAAACACCTTTTTATTAGAACTCCTATTTAACATGCCATTATTCAGAAGGATAATTATAGTAAAATTTTTATTTTAATTCTAATATTTATTTGAAATGAGCTTTATAAATGCTGTACTTTGTAATAAAAAGTGACATCTATGTACGATTCACAAAGAAATGAACATTTAGTTATCTTAATATGAAATAAAATAAAATGTGCGAAGAACAATCAAGTTGGAGTGTATGTCAAATATCCATAGAGGACATTTTCAATAAAGGTCCTTCGACTACTTAATGTTTTGTTTGTTTCTTAAATCAATATTATCCGTATGTGAATGGACAGAATCAAGTCCTGCTGGTTCTGCAGATACAATTTATACTGAATTAATAGAAATAATAGACTAGTTAAGTTATATTATAATTTTCCATTATTTTTTATCCCATTTTGATATGAGACGATGTATTTTTAATAAACGTCTCTTTTATGCTTCTTGCGTTTAGTTATCTTAATATGAAATAAATAAATAAATGTGTGAAGCACCAATAAATTTTGTAGTAGCACATGTCAAACATCTATAGAGGACATTTTCAATGAAGCTCCTTTAATTACTTAATGGTTTATTTGTCTCAGGAAGATTTAGAAAAATATGATCGACTATTTTGTAAATAAAATAAATTTTATGAAAAATGTAGAAAATTTTAATATTTAAATTGTATGTTGATAGCGTGGTCATTTTTTACAGTGAAAAGAAACAAAATTTAAAAAAATACAATACTAATAAAACGCTGGATCTAATAAAAGTAAAAGGAATCACCTTAAATTATAATACGAGTGAGCTAGTAAACTTTTGAAAAATTAAGAGACATGGTACTTAATGAAGCTCCTAACGAATATGTTTCAACTAAAAATATCTTAAGAAATACTGATCATACTGTTGTTACTAAAGAAGTTCTTTCGTACTAATTTTACCAAAAGGAAACGTATTGATAATTACGATTCTGTACCGTACCGTTATAAAAAACAAAAATTTGAATCAATTGATCAATAATTAATTTAATTCTTTTTAAAGTTATTTTCTTCCTTTGATTCCTATCTTTAAGGTCAAAAAGTAAGTAGTTATGTAAAGTGAAGACAGATTTTAAAGAGGCAATAGTTGACTAAATAATAAAAAATACAAATATAAAAACAAAAAAACATAAAAAATAAAACAAAAAAAAACAAAAAAGACCCATATACGAAAATTAGGATTTAAAAAAAAACAAAAATATCAAAAGACCCATATACAAAAAAAGACCCATGTGTAGCTTAACCTAAAAGAGGCAAATATAAAAACAATATAAAAGAGGCAAAATTACAATAATCCAATATTTCTATTTTTAGTTTTCAAGTTTAAGATCACAACGATTATTAACTTTTACTCTTATCAAATAACAACAACTACGATATATACATAATAGGCTATATTTTAGCAAATTTAGTGCCGTTTGATTTTTGTTTAAATAAAACAATAAAAAGTTTAAATAATCTAAGATTTTAAGATTAGATAATTAATACTAACGTATATACAAAAAAAATATCCTGTATTTTACCAAAAACCCATCCTTTTTACCCCGTCCCTTCCTGACAAGCTATTGTTACAACCTTCACGTTGGTGCTTGTTGTTAAAAGTATTTTTGTTCTTTAATAAACAATTTTACTTAACCAATAGTAACAAAGTCCTAAATATTTTTTATAAACATGTATTGCCTTTTACATAAGTATATTTTAAATTCTATTTGAATATAATTTTATTACTTATGATTGCTTATAATAATAAAGGTTATGTGAAGCATTTGTAACGTTAGTATATAGACATGTAGCACAAACAGGGGTGGTTAGACCTAAACATTACTACTAAAGTTGTACTGGGCAAAAAATTATCAATCATTAAAGTTGGACGTTCTTGGTAATGTTCAAAATGATCTACTAATCCAGTAGAAAACTAATATTGACTCATATTTAAGTTGCAACCCTGTTAGCCATCCAAACTCGAGCCTTCTTAACAATTATTAAAAATTGTTTTAATCTTTGACCTTTCTTACATCTAACATCCAAAACTCTAAAATTTAAAATATTTCCCATTCAGGGGTAAGATATTTAGGTTGGTTGATGAGATGAGGAGGATGCGCAATGGTGCCGATGAGTCCTAAGTGCTCCTGAGGGGTAACCCTCTTCCCTAATTACAAGCTTATAATTTGATTTTTTGAAATTTGAAGCATCATAGGACGTAATGGTTAGACTGGAGAAATCTTTGAAAGATAGTCAACTTCATCTAAGAAAATGCAGGATTGTAAGAAAAAAAATAGAGCCAGTGGATAAAATAATTTTGTATGAATAATAGTACTGGGGAATATTTTATATGTTAATTTCATAAATCAATATTCTTGTTGATTTTGTATAAATAAATAAAAACTACATATTATATTATACATTTATAAAACTAATTTAAATTTTGCACTTAGGTACTGTATTCGTGGTAATCAGTTAAAATAGATATGAAATAAAACCTTTGAGTTTTAAACTTATAATTCTCAAGCTAAAATTTCTTTCAGATTTAGTTCTATAGTATGTCAATTTAATATACAATTTTAAAAAAAAGCAGTAATATTTTCATAAACTTTAATGATTTTATAGGGTTGGTTATTCATATACTAGAAACTGTAGAAATATGACATTCTCTCAACTTTTAAAGAAAAAGAAGTACATTTGTGTATCTATTATTTTTTTAAATAGATGTATTTTTGTTGATTTTTTTTTTACGGTGACCTACTAATTTCAAATTTGATAATATATTTTGATAATAAAATAACTTCCTTTGAACAATTGTTTTTACATTAACCTTTTATTAATAACATTTTGGATCATTATCGATTTTTTATGCTTCACAATTTTTGACCTTCAATTTTTAAGAAAATAATCTAATTATAGAGCATTCTGTGTTTGAATGCCATATTGTAGAGATATGGAGAAAATTTTTCGGGGTTGCTTTAAAGCTATTATTCGGAAAATGTGTGATGTTTCATTATAGGTGATAGATAAATTCCAGTATTCTTTTATTTTTTTTGGATAGTTATGATGAGTTTTAAAAGTGATAGTTTATTTATGATTGAAGGTAAGTACTTTGTAAAATGCGACCGACATGTATCGTCTGCTAGTAATTTATTTTCAAAAATCATATAAGTTAGATTTTTTTTTATTTATAAAGTGGCACTGGACAATGATGAGGTGACATTTATACATTTAAATGGATAGCACTGTTATTAAAATGGTTCGTAAAAATGTGAATGTACAAAATTGAAACTTTTAAAATGTTATGTTAAAGTATTTATTATTATATCTAATGTGGTGCTAAGAAATGAATTCTAAGATAAAATCTAAATATTTAAAATGTTAGGTTAAATTACTTGTTACTATTTTTAAAGTGGAGCTAGACATTATTTTTTTTTTCTAACTTAAGAAGCGTATGTCTGTTTCTACTGGTGTTGTTCCAGACTGACTTGATTGCATATAATAAAGGTTAGGTGAAACAATTGAGACGTTAATATACAGACATGTAGCACAAACAGGGGTGGTTAGACCTAAACACTTTAATAAATAAAACTACTAAAGTTGTACTGTGCAATAAATTCTTAATCATTTGAATTGGGCGTTCTTGGTAATGTTCAAAATGATCTATGAATACAATAGAAAACTAATATTGACTCTAACTTAAGTTGCAACCCTGCTAACCATCCAAACTTTAGACTTTTTTAATAAATATTAAAAATAGTTTTAACCTTTGACCCTTCTTACATCCAAAACACTGAAACTTACAATATTTCACATTCAGGGGTAAGATATGTAGGTTAATTGATGAGATTAGGAGGATGCACAATAGTATTGATGAGGCCTAACTACCGATGAGGGGCAACCCTATTACAAGCTTATAATTTGATTTTTTGAAATTTTTAAGTGCTGCTGCAGACAGTAATTAACTTCACCAATCGATAAGTATGAAATCTACATTACCGTTAATAATAACATTAACTTTAGAGTTTTAAAACATTTAAATACTTATAATATCCTTAGACTTAAACACCTAAGTTTCAACCCTCCAAACTCTAGACTTTTTAATAGTTATTAAAAATAGTTTAAACCTTTGACCCTTCTTACATCTAACATCCAAAACTCTAAAATTTAAAATATTTCCCATTCAGGGTTAAGATATTATGTAGGTTGTATGATGAGATGAGGAGGATGTTCAATGGTGCCGATGAGACCTAAGTGCTATTGAGGGGTAACCCCCTTCCCTAATTATAAGCCTATAATATAATTTGATTTTTTTTTTAAATTTTTAAGTGCTGATGTAGACAATAATTAACTTCACAATAATCGATAAGTATGAAATCTGCAATACCGATAATAATATCTGCAAATCTTCATGCCTCAAAATTCCCAACATTTTAATACTTATAATAAGTTGCAACCCTGCCAACCCTCCAAACTATAAACTTTCTAATAATTATGTAAAATAGTTTTAACCTTTGACCCATCTTATCTTATATCCTTACAACCTGTTAATTAATGAAAATCTCTTACATCTAACATCCATTAATAATTATAACAAGGATTTTTCTCTTCAACATTAATCTAAACCAATGTCATTTTCCTTGTTTAAGTCCGACCAATAATAATCAAGATAAATGCTTGAGTCCTTACGACATCGCATGATTTTTCTCTTCAGCAATAATAGAGATTTAATTCCCTAACACTCCTCCGTTTGAATCTGATCAATAATAGCGGAGATATGTGTAATGCCCTTTTGACTACTTTCAGTATACCGGAAATTATTAATCCAGATTATTTAAAAAAAAATATGTGAGAATTTTAAACATCATTTAGATTCTAGACCCTTCTTACATCTAAAACACATTCAATATTAAAGGATTTAACCTTCTTGTCTTACATTCTTACAACCTGTTTGATCATAAGTCAAATAAACGATACCAAGCTAGACGACATACTCTAAATAACGGAGTCGAATAATGTCTCCTTGAAAATCTAATCTAAACAAATCAAATCTAAGGGAGTTTTGAATTTTTTTACTGAATATACTACAGCAATCTGTTCACTATTTATATGTTTAAATCGCCCACACAAAAAACATGATATTCATATCAATATTTAGATACACCTTGACTTTGACCTTGACCTTGGCACGTGGGATTCGTGAGGCGTAAAGATGTTTTTCTTTAGACTTTTAAAAAATGGAAAAATAGATTTTTTAAAATAGATTTCTTAAAATAGATTTCTTAAAATAGATTTCTTAAAATAGATTTCTTAAAATAGATTTCTTAAAATAGATTTCTTAAAATAGATTTCTAAAAATAGATTTCTTAAAATAGATTTCTTAAAATAGATTTCTTAAAATAGATTTCTTAAAATAGATTTCTTAAAATAGATTTCTTAAAATAGATTTCTTAAAATAGATTTCTAAAAATAGATTTCTAAAAATAGATTTCTTAAAATAGATTTCTTAAAATAGATTTCTTAAAATAGATTTCTTAAAATAGATTTCTTAAAATAGATTTCTTAAAATAGATTCTAAAAATAGATTTCTTAAAATAGATTTTTTTAAATAGATTTCTTAAAATAGATGTCTTAAAATAGATTTCTAAAAATAGATTCCTTAAAACAGATTTCTTAAAATAGAATTCTTAAAATAGTTCTCTTAAAACAATAATGAATATGTGTGGCGTAAAGAGGTTTTACTTTAGATTTTTAAAAATGGATTTCAAAAATTATATTTTTTAAAAGCAGCGTGCGTGGAAAGTTCGCGAAACGGGGCCCCCTTGTGTGATTGGGTCATGTGGGTTGTGTGTGGTCGGTACATGACCTTGAACGCGTGAGTGGGTCGTGCGAGGTCGGTGGCTGAACTTGTCCGCGTGTATACGGGCATGTGGGTTGTGCGTGACCTTGTCGTCTGTATGGGTGGGGCATCCGAGTCGTGCGTGACCTTGACCTTGATGACCTTGATGACATTGACCATTACCTTGGCCCTAACCTTGACCTCGACCTTGACCTTGGCCTTGACCTTGGCACGTGGGCGGTTCTAAAAATAGATCCTTATCTCTCTTATCAGTAGCCTTGACCTTGACCTTGAACTTGACCTTGACACGTGGGATCCTTATCTCTCTTATCTTCCTTATCTCTCACTTCCGGTGGGGAAATGGTATAGTTTATCTACTTAAGTCGATGATCCTGACGTCGTCAGTTTTCAGTTTTTATCGTAGGCGTTAAACGTTAATGTTATCAGCTGTATACTTATTGTAATAGTTGACTTAACATAAATTAAGATACCAAAATCCTGCCTTACAATATTGTGCTATTGGTGTAGTTTCATAATCAGATGATTCTGAAGATTAGAGCATACTGAAAATGCTAATGATTATCTTATCCTAGTTCTACGATCCATAATACTCGTAAATATACCAATATTTTCCTCAGATAATCAGATTAATTTTCTATTAGGTTATGTTCCAAGCTGTTTGACGTTGAGCTGTCTTAAGAGTTCAACCAAAGTTCAACCAAACACGCAGATCGTAGCTAAAACACTTCGACATAACCAATCGAACACGGATTTTGCTCGAGGAATGCTCTCAAAGTGATCCATATTATTAAATTAAAAATTCTATTAGTGTTGCAGAAGAGCCTGCTAAAGAAATTATTAAAAATAAAATCGGCTTTCAGTACGCAGAAGCAGATGATGCATACCTATTAAAAGATGCCTATCAAATCATGGCTAAACAAAGAACGAACACAAAATGCTCCACATTCGACCTCCAGTGGTGCCTTCCAACCTCGCTTTCAACTCCTTTTGTAAATTCATCGGTTTCATTTTACAAAAGGTAATTGTGGACCTAAAACTTAATCCTACATGATCTGGGAAATGGAGCGGTAATTTGTTTTATGTGGCATAAAGCTGAAACCGGTCGCGGTTGTAACCAAATTGCGACTTGTCCCTTTTTAGAGTTAATAAATTTGCCTCTTAATGTAAAAAGGGTTACTTTGTATTCAGATACCTGTGGTGGACAATACATAAACTCACATGAAATGTGGCTGCGATGTATTTAACTGTTATGCAGAGGAGAAAATATTAGTCAGAAATTTTTTAGCGGCCGTAGTTACATGAAATGTTAAATTGATCATACATTTATTGAAAAGCAGAAAAAAATTGAAATTACAATGTCTTATTCTTACGCTACTTTCAGCTTGTAAGAACTGTCGGGAAAAGACGTACATTTTTGGTAAGAAAATTGACTTATGGCATGTTTTGAACCTTTTCTGACTGGTACACAAATTTTCTTACAATTCGTTTAAATAGCATGATGCT